TAAGCAAGATGGTAATTACAGCTCATAAATGAAAGGTGATCGTCCCTTTAGAAAGAGTATACAAAGAAAGTAATTTTGCAGTCAACTCTTGTTAATATTAGCTATAGTGTAATACTGCATAGTCTAGCCTAGTACAGTGCAGCAGAGCAAAGCACAGCTGAAGAGCTTGCAAGATCCATCTTCACATAAAATAAACTTAGATTTTTCTGATTACATTCAATCTTTATACTACATTATTATTTGAGAATTAATAATAATGAAAAAAAAAAGACACAATAATAAAAATCTGAGTACCTTCCCTAAAGTTCCAAAACAATCATCAAATGTGAATGTTAATGTTTGGAGTTTATCTAAATAAATGATGTAATTTGTAAAGAATTCATCTTAAGATACTACATTTTGCTTTCATGCATCTTCCTCCCTCTTTGCTACTGCTTATTCAAAACTCAGCTGGTGATATAGGTTGTATCCACAAAAAATAGTCTAAATCACTTCACCTCAGAAAATTAATTGCCTTCCTCTCTGTTTTCTTCACAATGCTTCTGGAACATTGCTGAATTACTGAGAAAGGTCAGCTCATTTGCAAAAAGATTCTCTTTCTGCCAAATGAGCCAGTCTGACGCTAAAAACAGGAGAAAGGTTTCGTGATTTGCTGCATAAAAAAAGCAATCCCATTTTTTTGCAAGGAGAGGCATACACAGAAAAGCTTGGGACAAAATTACTGACATTTGGTTTCCAACCTTAGCAGCAATGATTGGTTGATGTAACTGGTAATCTCAGAGAATTTTACAAAGCTGATTAGAAGAACGGGAATTCTGAAGTTGAGAGAGAAACCAATTTCTCCAAGCTGAGCTGTGCCACAGGCAAACTAGAACTCAGGTCTTCACAAACTCAGTTCAGTGCTGCTTCCAGAACTCAGCAACTGTTTCTCTTTTGCCTCTAGGAAAAAGCAGATTAACTAAGAACATACTTTTCCTACTTATTTTTTTAGGTAAATACAGCTTTTTCCACCTGTTCAAAACCAAAACCTGCTGGGTTTAAGCTGTATCAAGAACACTGAACAGGGCTGATATAGCACAAAAAATACTTTTCTCTAGCACACAGGAAGAGAGGTCACTAACAGTAAGAGTTTGATGGATCAGACCCCCAAAAGGATGTTAGCACATCCTACTACATAAGATGATCAAAGCAAGGAAAATATATTCAACACTACAAATTACTGCTAGAATTATGACAAACACAGAAATCATGGCTTGATTCTTCTTTAAGTTATATCTGCTCTTCCGGGACTATTTCCACTATAACTCATTTTTGATGAGGAACTTTAAAGCATTTTAAATGATAGCCAAGATAAAAAGATAAACTAAAACCTTATTTTTGGATGCAAAGTTAAAAGCTGACTTTGCTTTTTAGTTAGAAAGGCAGAAGTTTAGAGCAACTCCCCAGAAATCAGAGTATTTCTGGATTAACTTCAGAAATTGTCATGAATACTTAACCGAGCATCAGCATGTCCTTTAATTCTTCCTTACAGTGACTTTTATGAGTTTAGCCTGTACTCCTTTTTAAATAAATATATTTTATCTAATAATCCAATGTGCTATAGTACTTTTGAGTTTTATTATTACTACTAGTTGTAATGTTCAATTCCTCCTGTATGCTTAATCTGCTTTGGTTAATTTTTTTTGCAGAGGTTATGGATATTAAATGTAATGATGTACTTTTCCTAAAGGCCTCAAAATGTAACTATTCTTCTTTCCTTAAACTCTAAGGAATATAGAAATATAAATGTAGCAGGAAAGCTTCTTTGGCCTTGTGAATAAATCCCAAATGTTTTTTAAAACAGTTTACTGAGCAGGAAGAAACAGAATAGCAATTTACAGACCATTGTAGCAAGCTTGTGGGAAAAACTTTGTTTTCTGGAAAGCTTGGTGGAGGGAAGTTACAGCTGGCATATTTCTAGAAAATCTTCCATTAGAAAAAATAGCTTTTCTACTGAGTTTCTATATGCTTACCATGTAAGCAATTACAAAGTTCACTTGACTTCGATCTGGCTCTAACATTTAGAATTTAAAATAATTTTTGGTCAGAAGTCATAAGAATGTAATAACATCACATGTAAAGTTATCCTTTTTTCCTTGTATAATAAGGAAATATCCTGTTACTCTTGTCTATGCTGCCACAATATGGTCTTATATGAACATTCCAAGTAGACAGTTTTCTAAAATGGACGAGATTTCTTTTCTGTAATTGCCTGTAATGTTTTATGATGAACAATCCATAAAAATTCTTTTTCAATGAAGAAAGCAAGTGACATTAAATAGCCTCTTAATACAACAGTGATAGTAAGATAATCTCTCCTGTTATCAAAAAGCAAAGTCAAGAAGCCTCCTTGTTTTACTTATCACGTAGCAGTTAAATACAGATGCATCACTGATGCCCTATGAATTATGCAGTAAAGCTACCTGAAAATCTTGTTACCATGATTCCATTCACACCCCCTCATCTTACTTCAGACCTTAAAGTATGCATTTTATTATGTATTAATAGGTATATACATTACTATATATATAAATGTATTCAGTAACTCCTGGAAACAGAAAAGACATTAGTAAAATCCCCCTTAATTTGGATGTTTGGAAGGAAACAAATTGCTGGAAAGAGCCTTGTAGGAGACAGAGGAAATTGTTTTGACAGTAGGTGCCTCTTTTATTGTCTTTAGTGGACTTAGAAACAGGCCCATAGGAATTTCAGATGGCAACAGCAGCTTGACATTAATTTCAAGACCGTAGGTTCAGAACATGCACAACCTAATAAAACACATTGTTTTCATCTCTGATGTATGTGACCTTATAATACTGCCATAATTGTAACTTAAAAAAATAGAATCATTAAAGCAATTTAAAAGAAAATAAGAATATGGGGAAACACGTAGTAGTGCATACATATATGTTAAGTTGCTGGCTCGTCTCACCTATGACATTGGACTGGCACTTGAGCAATTGGAAAATGATGAAAAGGAAGAAGTGCCTGGAGTTACAATTGCAAATACTTTGTCTCCCACTGGAGAAAATAAGAATGTACAATAGTCGGGGGGAAGGGAACCCCAAAAAAGAAACCACCCTGAAACAAAACAAGCACACTCCCATGCCCCCCCCAAAAACCCAAAATCTAACAAGCAAACAAACAACCCACCCCCCCAAACCAACCAACTTGGTAAAGATTTCACACTACTTTGTGTCAGGGACTGCAACAAAGAGTTTAAAGAGGAAAAAGAATAATAACAGGAAAGACAATCACAATAGCCCAAGAAAATGTTTTTTTTTAATAGCACATTCCACTTCATTCTGCCTTTACCTCCTCTCCACATGCGATTATAAGGTAGAAGTACCACTTGAATCAATTCACTTAATTTTTAAAACCAAAAACCTTATAATACCTTTTCCTCCCAAAGCCCAAGCTGACCAGGAAGCAAATTAGTACTTTTCACTCAGCTGTGCCCTACAAATTACATTTTGACACCAGCACCTCACTTACCAAGTATTCAACTACTTCAATCATGTCCTATGCACAGCAGCTAAAAACAGAGGGCCAACCTTTGCTCGTCACAATGGAAATTAAGTGTATTTAGCCTTTCAGAAGAATCAGAAAAGTCAAACTCTCAATAGCTGATGAAGTCCTCCTGGTTCTTTCTTCATCCTTCATCCGAGTTTTCTCACACAATATATTTTGTGAATATTACATATAATTCAGAATACTCTTTATTTCCATGCAGTGTTAATTTCCATTACTCATTCCTAGACCTGCCCAGTTTCACTTTATTCTAAAAGTAGCTAACAGTGAACTTGCACTTCAGTGTCATACTCCAGAAGAGAATCTGTCTTTGGCTCTGATTGTCCCCACCCCTCCTGCCCCGTCTTGCTACTATGAAAGACCATATACAGTATTTCTTGTTTTGTCCAACCCCTTTACTAGAACATCCTTACTCACATGGTTGTGATGTTGCCTGCTATCCTATTGAGTCATTTTCAGTTGGTGCCAAGAGGAAGACTTGTGCATTTATAATCAGAAATCAAGTTCAAACTGAATCTTCCAGCTGTGGGAAGAATTGCAAAAATTCTCCTGCTGTAGTCAAAGCTTTGCATGACTGACTGAAGAACAGGAGCTGAGGAAAACTAAAAACTGCTCCTCAAAGATCATCTCTTCTAGCTGGCAGCTGGAAGGATGGAGGGAATGAGGTCATTAGGGTAGGTTTAATCAAGCAAGCAAATTGAAAAACAAAAGCAATCTTAGTGCCCTCAGTGCTATAAACAAAAAAATGAAAAAGGAACCATAGAGGACAGATCTTGTGAAACAGAACTTCTGTACATAACAATGATGCAGTTAGCAATCATGCTAAATAGAGATGCTGTGCAGACTGCTATTTTACTACAAATCCCTCCTGATACACTACTGCTGATATTCTCTGGCTCTCTTTCCCATCCCACACAGAAGAATTCAGTGGAAGAGTGACATCAGTTGAAAACTTCAAGTACACAAGAAGACCTATAGAAGATTAAATCATAGTCTCATAAATAGCAAAGAATAGGGTAATTTCTAAATCTACCTTGTAATCAAGATGCTAAGTCAAAAGCTTAGCTTCTGCTCAGCTCAGAAAGAAAGGTTTTGCTAGAACTGTGAAAAAATAACTTAAAGCTCTATAAAGGAAGAACTACAGACAATCACAGCTACTTTCCTGATCAGACTTTGGATATTTCTTTCACATTTCTCAGTGTTTCTGTGAAGCCTGGGGAACTGCTAATAGCAGCAAGTTTAACCACAGTTGTCTGTACAAGCACAAAGGAGCTATCAGTGGAAAGGCAAAAGAAAACAGCAAATAGCAGATAATCAGAAAGCAGTCACTCTAAAATTTAGTACAGTCTTAACCAGAGGAAAATGAAACACTCCTACTGCAAATACGCATAACCTGGAATGGCCAAAAGCTAGCATAAGAAACCACATACCTGTATTGGTTTTAGAAGAAAATGCCAGAATGTTTACCTTCTACAGCCACCTCATTTTTCTACAGGAGACTGAGAAAAGACACAGACCTTTGTCTTTTGTACTACTCATTTGCATGTTTTTCACCACAGCCAGGTAGGTTTTGTTACTCAGAAGTTATTAACAGAAACACTTTCACTAAAGTTGCTGTGAAACTTATTTGAGGAACTGAATGTTGATGACCTTCAGCTGAACAATCAGTTAGTGTATAATATATACAAATGTTGATGGAGAAACACAGCTGACTTCACTGTCCAAGTAGATTTCCTCTCTAGGCAAAAGCCAATTACTGGCTGCTTAACCTCTTTCCTTAAATAAAATGGTAGCAAGACAGGTGATAAAGGGTAGGTCAAGCTATTTCTTTGCTGCAGTCTTTTTGACGTAGGAGGATGTGGTTTTGCTCCAATTGATCGTACCAGACTGCTCCTTTAGGGTTTCAATAAGAACGAAAGCCAGAGCACAGGCAATTTATTCTAGTAATCACCAACAAGAATCATAAATGTTCCCTACAGAAGGCTGATCCAGTTGCCCAACATTTTACCTGTACTGTTTAGTGTTCCACTTCTTAATACTAAACAGCTCCAGATACTCACCCACCTCTTCTTCCAGATTTGAATACCTGCAGCAACACAGCAGATAACATCCAGCTTACTGAGTAAGTGACTAGTGAAAAACCTAGGTTGCTGCTAAAGGACATTTTTTCTTCTCTTCACACACAGAGGAATGGGGAAAAGCACACTGTATAAAAAGCTCCCTACAGGAGTGGGATAGTTCCTCAGTGTCCTCAGCGTACCCCTGAAGAGGAAGACAGGACACTTTTGTCACATATTATGTTGGTGGTCTGGCTGACATACCACAAACACAGACTACAGAAAGCTTCCTGGTATTTGTTTAAAGTCTGAAGGACTCAATTTACCTATAGCTTTGCCTGTATAAGGTGACGTTGACTAGTACTGACTTTTCACTGTGACTAGGAATGCACTGAGAACAATTTCTCTTGGCAGCACTGTAAAGGATTATTAGTGAAGGACTCATGGGACTGGTTTCTCCAGAACACCCAGTGTGCAAGGGCAAGCAGTTTTCCAGGACAGAGAGCTAGATCAAACTTCATTTGTGTGAGAAGAGAAACAAGAACTCAGATTCCAGCTCTCAAAGTCAAAATACAGCCCCTAGTTCGCAGCATCGGGTCAGACTACTGCACATTGAACATTTTTCAGGGGAACTCACCACTGAGACAGAATTTACAATACATGACCAGGACATGACTCCATGAAGAGTACAGAGTAAGTAGTTTAAACATAGATCCTTCGTGTTTCTATACAAGGCAAGTTACTGGACGTGCTAACAGTATGCTGTTCCTGTATGTTTGCACTCTGCTGCACTGTTGGCAGTACCGTGTGCAAGAAATAAGGTCCCACTAGCCTGGGAATGTGAAAAACACATCAGCTTAGTAACTGAATAGAGTCTGAGGCTCCTAGTTTGGGCATAAGGGTGGAAAGGTATAGGGCACAGGGCTGAGTTTGTGCTTTCTGACTAACAGCCATATGAAAATCTTGAGTGAAGCTCTTGGAGTCAATAGCTGAATGTCCAAGTCTCTGCTATAACTAGTCAATTCAGTAGTCCTCACTCACTGGAACCCCCATCTGAACCCTTTCAACACTCAAACTCACAGAGATTTTCTTCACCACAGTTAATTCAATTTCTTGGATTTTGGCTCTGATTTAGACCATTTATTACAAGTCAGACTTCTTCGCCCAGGTAAGAGATTCTCTCAGTCTATCTCACTGGTCTATTTCAGATGACATGATACAACAAGAAGCCCTAGCTACTAAGCCTCTGGCCAGCACCCTAATGATTTTACCAGAGGAGAGCACCTGAATCACTCAACTGCTTATTCCTTACTGCCTTCCCAAAGTCCCCTTTACACACATCCAAAAGGCAGAGAAACATACCCCACAGTTTGCTGGAGAGCTATTTTAGAGCGTGGTTCAACTCTCTCAGAGCTACTACAGCTTCTGCTGACCCTGCTTCTTACTATGAGACCTCTTGAGAACAGGGCACAAAGCCTGCTGGGGAAACAGTGTGTGAACTACTATCCCCCTCTTCAGACTCACCTCCAGGGAGAGGATTAAAGACAATGCAGATGGAAGACTTGGGTCTTGAAATGGAACTGTGGGATTAACTGCAGTGTTTTTCCTGTGATGAGGACCTGCAGCACATGGGTAGGTTCCACACGTGCTATAGCAAAGTGTGGTTTTCAGCAGAGACTCTCAGTCTGAGATGGGCTGCTGCTTGTGATCATGGCAGGTGGTAAGAACTGAGAAGCATACAGAAACAGCCACAGTTGCTGTCATTCAAATTAAAAGTGCAGTGTAGACCTGACAATTAAAGTGTAGGCACTATTTCCACTGGGTAAATGCAGCAGGGAGGGAGTGGCACACAGGAATATTTGATGAATATGAAGATTTTGTTTAAAAAATGTAAACATGTCACTGTTGATAGGGGTATTGTATAGCTCCCACTCCTGTGATACAGCTGAAATATCTGCTGATGACAAGTAGTAGCTCTAAACTGTTAAAGCATGGAGCAGATCAGCACTAAACCACATTTTCTCCCCAAAGACTGCAGCTTATTGAATAACAGATTTGTTAGTTGAAGTCCCTTGCAATCAACCCTTGCATAAAACATGCATCCCCAACGCCAGCTGTTGTTAACGTGTTAATGAGAAAATTGATTTCTTGGATGTGAAATCATCAGGTGTTACATTTCCTCATTTACCCTCTTCTACCACCCTAAAAATCACCATATATAAAAATACTGTTTGCTCAAAATAATAATAGTACGAAGTGTAGAATAAATGCAAATGAGTAAAAAAGAACTAAAAATAGTATTTTTTTTCAAAGACACAATGAAAACAAACTCTTCCCATTTTACACATATCTAAGGACATCTATGTTTAGGGCTGCATAGTGTTTCAACAAAAAACAGTGTCTGACGAACATGTAAATGCCTTTACAGGCATGTAAGAAAATGTCACATTATAATTTTATAAATGTTTCTTGATGTCGGTTGTGATTTAAGCTGGGCTTAAACCACAGAAATGTCAATTACATGTTACAGATTGAAAAGTGAAATTAGAGAGCAGTGGGATGTATTTATCTATCTGAAGGGAATCACTATTCCAAACCTGTAGTTAACGGAATGGTTAAAAAGAAAGTGTGTACTAAATAACAAAGAGCAGCAAAAAAGCAGATCTGCATTCCTCTGGAATTCAGGAAACAGCTTTAATCAAAAGCAGCCTCAGCCCTGGGATATTCAACTAATTAGCCCTGCAAGGACAGGGCAAAAAGACTATTCTAAACTTAAACAAAGGCAATATAAAACAAATCTCTCAACATAAACAAGATGAGAATTCATTTTCTCTCTGGCGCTCTCCACAGCTCCTGAAAGTGCCTGCTGCTGTCAATGAATGAAATAAAAGGGGAGGAGGGAGAACAAAGAGGTGCTATCTTACCAGCCGATGAAGCTTATTGCTCCACTCCCTTCATGACGCTGGGTACTCACAAGCCTATAAAATGTGCCTTGGCTCCCAGTCAGCTTCTCTTTCAGCAAAATCAAAAGCAAGAGGTGGCTGTAGAGAGGAGCAATAGGATGCTGCTCAACCCAGAGGTAGCTCTCCAGTCTCAGCTGGTACAGCATTTCTAACAGTTGAACAGAGTAACCAAAGCTTTTCTGGCAGGTTTCTCGTTCCCACTGCCTGCTGTGCTGCCTCACTCCCTTTTTTCTTTCTTTCCTCTTCTTACCTGTTTGTGGTGATTTTGGTGGGCTGGGAGAAGCACATCATTTCTGGAACTGAGGAGAGGAACATCCAAGATGACTTCTGTCCCCACAGCCAACGGGAACATGAGCATGAGCAGCAGGTGGAACATTAGCCTTGCTGCAGTGGGTGATCCCTGGGGACAGGAACTGGGAGCATCAGCTGGAAACACTTCTCCCCCTGTAGCATCCTCAGCAGCCAACTTCTCCAACCAGTTTGTGCAACCCTTTTGGCGCATTGCCCTGTGGTCTCTGGCTTATGGTGGTGTGGTGGCAGTGGCTGTTTTTGGAAATCTCATTGTTATCTGGATTATCCTGGCTCACAAGCGCATGAGGACAGTGACCAATTACTTCCTGGTGAACCTGGCCTTCTCCGATGCCTCCATGGCTGCTTTCAATACTCTCATCAACTTCATCTATGCGCTGCACAGTGAATGGTACTTTGGAGAGGCTTACTGCCGCTTCCACAACTTCTTCCCAATCACAGCTGTCTTCGCCAGCATCTACTCCATGACAGCAATAGCTGTGGACAGGTGAGAAAAAGGAAAAAATTTTGGGTGAAATGTCAAGTTCAAATACTCTGCTGAAATAAAAATACACAGAAAACAATCATAAAGTAACAAGAGGCAGAGCTCTCAATCGGTCACTGATTGTGCTCCTCTGTACTTCTGTAACTTCTCTCCCTAACACACAGTTTTTCTCCCTGTCTTTGCTCTTTCTCCTTTAAATTTCATTGTTTTCACTCTCGCATTTTCTTTTACATTTCCTCTCTGTTTGACTTCAGTAGCTCTTTGTGCTCCATCTTTTAATACCAATTCAGTAGCAGCAGCCATTGCTCAGGGTTTTGTTTCCCCACCTGTGAAAACAGTATCTGTCCCTCAGTCAATGTCATCTAATTCATACTGATAAGTAGTTGTAGAGATTGTGTGTGAAGGGAGAGGATTTCAAACTTCCTTCCTCTTTGTCTTTTTGCAGCTGGTGGAGGCATTTGTCTCCTCCTCAGAAATCACTTCAGACTCTGTTTTTAATAGTTCTTCCCACAGGCAGCTCTGAGTTACTTGGTTCCTCCTGATTTTAACTAATGAGACCATTTACATTGTCATTTGTACATATCCAGAGGTCTGGTAAGAACATGGTTTCAAAGAGCTTGATTTTTTTGTCTGATTACTTCCTGCAAAGGAAGCCTCTGTGACTGTGAGAAAAAACAGAACAGG